GAAGGGTACCAGCCAGTAGGCCTGTAGCCTGAATAGAATAAAGACGAAAAGGGAGGCCACCACTGCTTCCTGCCTCCATGCAGTGGGCTATTTTCTCTCCGATACCCTCTGCCACAGCACCCTGTCTGGGAACCAGTCAACTATGGACTGAAATCTCCACAAATTAAGCTAAAAGAAATATTTCTTTGTGGATGTTGTATATTTTGTCCCAGGAAGTAGCTAAGCTAGTGGCCAATCAGCAAACAGCGCCTCTATATGATGGAGAGCAGTTATTTCTGGAAGAGAAGTGTGAGAGTTTGGCATAAGTGAGTTAAATCCTTATGTAGCAAAAAAAGATAGAGTAAATCATATCTAATGTTGATAAGTGAACCATTAATTCAATCTTTGGTAAAGTTAGATTGTCCCGTGTAAATCCCAAGGACACTGAGGCTGAGAGGGAGTAGGTTAAATAAGCAATAAAGGTAGATGTAAAGCAAGTAAACAACAAAAATACAAGGTCTGTGTGCCATAAAGGCCCATTTTCTTACCTGGAAGAGTTAGTTTCTTGTCATCTGTAGCAGCATACCTAGCCCAGCCTTGCTTGATGAGATGTAACCTTAAGCTGACATGTATCAGCCCACAATACTGAAATTCAGCACTAACATGGTTGCTAACATTATTGATCTAGCAGCTCAGTAAAGTCATTAAAAAACCAGTTTCGGGCCGGTGAAATAGTTCAGCGGACTAAGTGCCAGCTTTGGCAAGCACAGGGACCAAGGTTCACTGAGCTGGTGACTGAGTCCAGGTGTGGTGGCACACGCCTATAATGCCAGCACTGGGCAGACTGAAAACAAAAGGATCACTGTGAGTCTGAGCAGTATAGTGAGACCCTGTAACAAATACATAAATGGGGAAAAAAAAATTAAAAATCCAGTTTCTCTCTGATCTGATAGCCCCAGTTTTGTGGTAGGGTGGGAGCAGTGTTTGATTTTTTTTGAGACAGGCTCTCACTGTCAGTCCAGGCTGGCCATGAACTCATGCAGGCCAAGATTGCTCAAACGTGTGGCAATCTTCCTGCCTCAGCCTCCCATGTACTTGGGTTATATGTGTATAGCCCAGTTTTGCATTTATCCTAAAGGTGATAAAGGCCAGTTAGAGAAACTTAACTTCCTGTGATTGCTAAAACCAAAAACTACTATCCTAGAGACTCTAGCAGACCTCCAATTGTACCTTAGCTGTTATGAAATTCTCATTATCTGTAGATTTCTAGATCTTTTGAATAAATAAATTGTTTTAAATTCCTAAGAGGAAGGCAGGTTCTGGGCCTTACAGAGTGATTGCTTTAGTAGCTGCCCTATTTTCCCAGTTTTGCAGTGACCCTGACTTCCTGCTTTCTCAGAAGCCTTTCTTTAGGGCACAAACTTGTAGACTCGTGACCTTCTCTTGGCCTTTGTAGTATGTTTTGGTTTCGTTTAGTTTGGTTTGGTTTGGTTTGGTTTTTTAACTACTAAGGATTGATTCCAGGGCCTTGCGTATGCTAAGCCAATATTCTACCACTGAGCTTTATTAGGTTTTAGGGTTAGGGTTAGTTCAGTAAGTTGCCTAAGCTGGCCTTGAACTTGCAGTCCTTCTATCTCAGCCTCTAAAGTCGCTGGTATTATAGGAGTCCAGTGTTGCACCCAGAAGACTTTGTGGTTATCACAGCCAGTGCTTACTATCAAAAAGACTAAAAAGAAAACTGATTTCTCATTCTTGCTCTCAAAGGGTCAGACTCTGCCTGGGCGAATCCTTTTTCTGCGTTACGTAGTACAGACCCTAGAAGATGACTTCCAGCACACTCTGAGGAGACAACGGCACCACCTGCAGCAATCCATCGCCAACACCGTGCTGTCCTGTGACAAGCAGCCCCACAATGTCAGGTAACCAGCCAGCAGAGCCCTGTGATATAGGGCTGTAGGCAGCAATTGCTGAGGGCCAGAGCGTATCAGGTGGATGAGCACTAGACCTTGTAATAGGGAGGATTATTGGAACTGAAGATAATTAGAAAAGATGGCAACAGTATGGCAAGCACCATAGCTCAGATTTTTCTGTCAAGACCATGTGACTACCACTGGCCTGACTAGTTCCATATTCTTAAACTTTTTTTGTGTGTGTGGTCCTGGGGATTGAACTCAGGACCAAGTTCCATATTCTTTATACAGCCTTATGAGACCCAGAGGGAAACCTTCACTTATAAAATGTTTCCATTTTTAGGACCAACCAGATAGCTCAGCAGATCAAAGCACCTGCTTAGGCAGATGCAGGGGCCTGGAGTTCCAGTCCCTGGCCTGCCGTGCTGGCCCTGACCCTGGGGCATGCTGAGACAGTGATTGAGACTGGCTGTGGTGTTGCATGTAATCCCAGCACTTGGGGGACTGTAAACAGGAGGATCATTACAAGTCTGATCTATGTAGTGAGACCCTGTACACACTGTACACCCTGTATAATGTGTCCTAAATATTAAAAAAAAAATTATTTTCATTTCACTGTGAACTTCATATTACTCTCATTTGTCACTACTAATTTCTAAAAAGTAGTAAATATGACAATAGGTCATGTGATTGACATTAAGTTTCTATAAGTGGCAAATGTGTTTTGTTTGGTTGGTTGGCTTTTCTGTAGAATGAGGATTGCAGCTGCTAGAAGCTTTGGAGTGTGAAGTTCTTGTATGCTGATGCTGAGAAGATAAAGAGCTCAGGCTGTCAGGATGGGACTTTCCCCCTGGAAATTGATCCCTTGCTTTTTTTTTTTTATTTTTTTTTAATGGATCACACTAGAAAAGTATACCAGGGCCAGGGAGATAGCTTGGCAGTCTAAGCACCTACCTGGCAAGGGCAAGGACCCAGGTTCAGTTCCAGGTACTGCATGCCATGCCAGCCCCAGAACTCCAGGCACAACTGCTGGCCCCTGATACCGGGTGTGGTAGCGCACACCTGTAATCCCAGTGCTGTGGAGGGTGAGACAGGAGGATCACTACAAGTCTGAGCTGCGTAGCAAGACCCTGTACCGAATAAATGAATAAAAGATTAAAAAAAGAAAAAAAAAGTATACCATTACCAGTGTTTTTCAGAGCAGTCTTGAAATTATTCTACTCATACTTACATTTCCACATGGTCCTATTTGTTCAGAATAATTTACACAGAATAATGTAAGATATTGACTATTATAATTACTCCGAGCTAGGTGTCATGATGCACACCTATAATCCCAGCACTCTGAGAGGCTAAGGTGGGAGGATCACAAATTCAAGCCCAGCCTGGGCGGTTTAGTGACCTAGACCTTGTCTCAAAAAAAAGGGTGTGGGGATGTTTCTCTGTGTGAAGGTCCGGGATTCCATCCCCAGTTCTACCCCCTCCCTGAAAAAGCTAATAAAAAAGGAGTTTCCTAACTATTTAGATATTAGCTTACATCCCCTGTCCACCTGTGTCTGGCATTTATACAAAGTTTGAATGTTAGTAATTGTCAGGAAAGAAAATCAGTATATGAAAGTGTATAGACTCTACAAAGAGCTTAGTTACGGAGACCACTGTGAAGCTCAGAGGAGTCTGTCCCAGGCTTAGGTAACTTGCTCAAAGAATGGCAGCTGGCATGCAGTAAATGCACCTCTCCACACCAGCAGTCACAATAGGGGCCTGCATTGACCTGTGACACTAATACTTCAGAGGGCAAGATAAAGCCACAGGGTTGGTAAGATGGCTCAGTGGTCTAAAGCACCTACTTAGAACAAGCTTAGCAAAGCACAGGGACCGCGGTTCAATCCCCCAGCACCACATGCCAGCCAGCCCT